ATGCAGGAATACAGTTACAGCACTCCTGAAAGATGTCCATCCAACCTCTGTTTAAAAACCTCCCAAAAAAGGGGATCTCCAAAGAAGGACGTATTGGGGTGAATCTATATATGCTTGGATGTGAGTGGAAGGCATTCCACAGACTCCAGACAGAGCATAGGAAATTGACTTTTTTGGAACTACAAAATTCCTCTAGCTGGGATTTTAACATTCTACTCCATATGTGCATCCAAAGGAACAGATTGAATTAGAGGGTGTGAAAAGCTTGTGCTAAAATAAACCAGTTACCGTCGTCCTTCCCAATTCGCGGGGGATCTGTTCCAAACCCGGAACACCCCCCCCATGAATTGGGAAAATCGCAAATATCCAAGCCCCATTGATTTTAACGGCAGCACGTGCCCCAGCACACGTGTCATTTTGTCTTTCCCTGCTTGCTATCTGCAAAGAATTGAGACCACGGACTCCAAATCTGTGAATGGGGAAGGACGAGTGTATTCTCACAGGTGCTTCTGAATTTGTTTCCCCACCTTTCCATTTTAGAAGAAAAAGTGAGTAACTGCTGCTCCACAGCATCTACCATCTGAGGAAGTTGCCTCAAATCTGCCTAATGGTACAGCTGGGCTTTCAAGACATACAGCACCTCAGGCCTGTGGATTGCACAACCCCTTTGTGCCTTAGCTCCAACTGCTGGAGTGCAGTTCTTCCTCCACTGCCCTGGCCTCAGAGGGAGAGAAGAGCAGCCAGGGATAGCTCTATCATGCCTTGGCCTTAGCGGCTTGTGAAAGCTCCTCTTTCCAAGTTCCAACTGGCATTGCTCTGATTTCTGAGGAAGAGAAGAGCAGCCAGGCATATCTCCATTGTGCCTTGGCCTTAGCAGCTTGTGAGAACTCCTCTTTCCAAATTACAACTGGCATTGCTCTGGTCTCTGAGGGAGAGAAGAGCAGCCAGGCACAGCTCCATCATGCCTTGGGCGCAACAGATTGTGAGAGTCCCTTCTTTCATGTGTCATCTGCCATTGCCCTGGCCTCAGAGGGAGAGAAGAGCAGC